TGGTCGTTTCGCTTGTTTGAATCCAGTCCAAGATGAAAGTGGACTTTGGGTAGTGGGACAGCGCCTGGAGAACAAAAATCCCATGACAGTGGATTCTTCGCTGCAAAAGCTATTGCCCTACCGACATCATGTCACCAGACTCTTCATGCAACGAGCTCACACTTCTGGTCATAGAGGTCGTGATGCAACCTTAGCACGATTCCGTCAACTCTACTGGGTAACCCAAGGAAGCAAACTCGCTCAATCAATCAAGAGTAAATGTCAGATGTGCAAGCTACGCGAAGCAAAGTTCCTCGAGCAGCAAATGGGACAACTACCGGAAGCAAGATTGAAACCACCTCCAGCTTTCAACCACGTTATGATCTATCTTTCAATCACGATAGACCTTTTCGGACCCTACTCGGTTCGTGGAGAAGTACAGAAAAGAACAAGTGGTAAAGCGTACGGAGTAATCTTCACAGATCTAGTTATGAGAGCAGTCCACATTGAAGCTGTGTTCGGGTACGATACCGAATCATTCCTAATGGCCCTCAGCAGATTCGTCAGCGTTCGTGGTTGGTCCGAAATCATATATAGTGATCCCGCATCACAACTAATTGGTGCGGAAAGAGAACTCACGGAAACCTGGAAGAGCATTGACCGACAATCCCTACATAAAAGTGGCACAGAGAATGGATTGACCTGGATCTTCGGCCCCGCTGATAGTCCTTGGTACCAAGGAGCTGTAGAATCCCTGGTGAAGAGTGCCAAGAGAGCTATTCATTTCGCAATCAATAACCAACGTCTATCAGTCCAAGAGTTCATAACGGTGTGTAGCGAAGCCACGAACCTCCTCAATGAAAGACCTATCGGAACCCTCCCGAGCGCTGATTCCGAATTAAACATCCTTACTCCCAACAGTTTGTTACTGGGCAGAGCAACCGCGAAGAATCCTGGTGGATGGCATCCTAACGGTAATAATCCAGGAAAGCGTTATCATGTTGTCCAGATCGTGACAGACGAGTTCTGGAAGAAATGGACGGAGTTATACGCCCCAGCCTTGGTTATTCGTCGCAAGTGGAATACAGCCAACCGTAACCTGCGTCCAGGAGATGTTGTAATAATCGCCGACCGTAATACCTTGCGAGGAGATTACCGTTTAGGTATAGTACAAGAAGTGTTTCCCAGTCAAGACGGAAAAGTTCGTCGAGTAAATGTCATGTACAAGAATTTTCAAATTGGGGAAAAGGTACAAAAATACAAAGGACATAACGAGGCTGTCATTGTGTCACGAAGTGCTCAGCGATTATCGTTATTAGTACCAGTGGATATGGATCAAGACCAGGAAACCAAGTCGGAAGCAAAAGAGAGTGTATGAACGGACAGTGACATATAGTATTGAGTGAACAATGCATTAGAAAAATTTACATTCAGATTTTAAGACGCGATCGCATCGACCCCAGTCCTTCCGGTGTATTGGGTTGTAGTAAAGTTGTAGACAATAATCTCTGCGATCGCCTTTTGAACGATGTTTTTTACGTTTTGTTAGAGCATGCGCATAAGAGCTAATATGGCGTGCGAAGGAAAACAGTGTTTTACCACTAATTACTATTTTGTAATTTTCCGTATATTTTATAATTAAAGTGAGTTGAAACCTGTTTTTCGCCTCATTTACTGGCAATCCCAGTACATATATCAAACACCTTGCACCGAAGTCGAAGGTCAGCTAAGTATTCTCAGGGGCGCCGGAACCACGGGGGCAGCGGCCCCCGCTGCCCTAACAATGCGGGGGCAATGCGGACTGAAGGCAACTGGTTGTCCCGTTTTGTGACAAGAAAGGATTATATGTGACAAAAAAGGAAATAGAAATATTAGGCTGCAAGCGGTCAGACTTCACCAGCTACCAACAGGCAACAGGGACGCCGGAACGATGTGAAGGCAAGGGGGGCAGATTTTCGTGAAAGGGCACTTTTGAAGTGATATATACTAAGAGATGTTTGCAAAACATCGGGAGTTGAACTTCGCCTAATCTTGTTTTCTATTTATTGGATGGTAGGGGAGTGAGGGGGTTCTCCGCCAGGCGATTGTACTATAACTGCTATTCTTGAAGCTCGATGACTGCATTTCTTGCGTTTTCTGAAGCAAATTCCTAAAAGAATTGCACTAACATTTCTGACAATTCGCTATTTCTCCAAGGCAACCTTTAAACTGAAAGGGCACCTTTGCCCCTCCTGATAAAGGGCAACGGGGGCGGCTGCCCCTCCTGCCCCCCAGTTCCGGCGTCCCTGGCTACCAAAATATTACACCAATATACTTTCGCTGTTTTTTGTGTTTTACGCACGTGACGTTTACGAAGCCTATTAAGCCCAATTTCTGCTCCACCTTACAAGTGGATGATCCAGATCACCTGAACAATACTCAGATTGCAAACAAAATTAGCAACAGCTTCCTCAAATATTATTGTGCAGCAGGAAATTTCGCCGCTAAACAATGGTATAAGCTTCTGAAACAACAAAAAATCGATAATGATATTATGAATGACAGTACAGAAACATATATCATTATATTATGACGACAATTACGTATGTGATTTGTGTTATTTGGTGCACTGATTTGGTGCAAGATTTTTACAGTCTTTCAAAATTATTTGGGGGGCTGGGACCCCCTCTAGTGTCCGCCACTGATTAGCCAAGACAGTAAATTCAGCTTTTAAGTTTGAGGTTAACGTTTGCGGTATAATTTCTACACATGGATCCTGATACATTTTATTTCTATTTTTCTAATATGAACTTTAATACACGTGCCCTTGAAAAATTTCTGCATATTTTTACATAGTCCACCCATATGATTGCAATTAACTTTCGATGACCACCCCTTCAACTGTGTTCAAAATTAGTGACCCACCCCCTATTTTTCCCAGCCCCCCCCCTTTACTTTATTACATAACTGGTCCTTAATTAATTTAATTCACCTCTATTTTTGTCTTTAAACCAGCGTTGGTCATTGCATATCAAAGAACAGTAGATTATAACGGTTATAAATATCGCTACGTTGTCACTCCTACACATACGCCTGTTCGTTGGGTAGACTTCTATAAAGCTGAGCAAGAATGTGTCAAGTGGGGAGGACATTTGACAAGCATTCATTCACAACAGGAGCTTAATTTCGTTAAGGTATAATTTAATATTTAGTTTATCATTTACATTTTCGAGACCGGATCAAAGTAGGCCATTATAATTAACTTGTGGTATTCAAATAAAATGTACCACTTTTTTTTCAAAACAACGACTTGTTAACCAACCCAAGAAGTGATGCACAAGAGACCGTGTATTTATTCCTTTTTTCCTTTTCTCAAGGGTCTTGCTTCGCGGAATGCCTTAACCTACATTGGCTACGATATTAATAAATGGACAGATGGAACAGCAAATGGTTTTATTGCTTGGAAAACACAACGAGGACGTCTTACATACAAAGGAACATCCTCTAACTTAAAACAACCAGCTTTCATCTGCAAGAAGAAATGTAAATTTAGATCTATTTTTTACTGCATATTTTTATATCGCTCCACAAATTTGTTGCACTGCAGCAATGTTAGTTTCTAGAATGTAACCATCTCATAATTATAGGTAGTCTCCGTAGGATGGGCTATTTAGGGGAGTAGGCAAGTGTGGGAGAAGCTGAGGAAGAGAGCGAGGGAAATGGAAGGGGCGAGAAAAAAAATCAAATTTTTATATCCATATATGAATGTCTCTATTCTTATACTGATAATTGAATTTTACTATACTTTTTTAGCACAACCAAGATTGGTTATTTTATATCAAAGAACAGTAGATTATAATGGTTATAAATATCGCTACGTCGTCACTCCTACACATTCGCCTGCTCGTTGGGTAGACTTCTATACAGCTGAGCAAGAATGTGTGAAATGGGGAGGACATTTGACAAGTATTCATTCACATCAGGAGCTTAATTTCATTAAGGTATATTTACCTGCATTTTACATTCTCGATATCGGACAAAAGATGACGTTATAATTAACTTATGGTATTCAAATAAATTGCCCAAATTTTTTAATGAAAACAAAAACATCGTACCCCCGAATCCAACCCAGGAGTCTGGGCCAGAGACTTTGTGCAACTTCTCAGTTTTCCTTTTTTCAAGGGTCTTGTTACAAAGAATGCGTTAACGTACATTGGACACGATATTAACAAATGGACAGATGGAACACCAAATGACTTTACTGCTTGGAAAACTCAGCGAGGACGCCTTACATACAAAGGAACATCTTCTAACTTAAAACAACCAGCTTTCATCTGCAGGAAGAAATGTAAATTTAGATCTATTTTACTGCCTCTTTTTATATGCTAGTTCCATTAACTTGCTGAATTGTAGAAATATTAAATTATTGATTTATAGTCATTGTATAATTATAGACAATAGTTTCGTTTTCCAAGATGTCCTTATGAATGTTTTTATTGTCATAGTAAAATTATTGAATTTTCATATTTTTAGTACCAGCAGGGTTGGTTATTGCATATCAAAGAATAGTAGATTATAATGGTTATAAATATCGCTATGTCGTCACTCCTACGCATACGCCTGTTAATTGGGTAGACTTCTATAGAGCTGAGCAAGAATGTGTGAAATGGGGAGGACATTTGACAAGCATTCATTCACAACAAGAGCTTAATTTCATTAAGGTAAATTATATATTATTTATGCACCATGCAAAGTTGGCATTCTAAATAATTTGTGGTATTCAATTGATATCGACCATCGTGGCTTGTCCCCAACGAGTCTGAACAAGAGACCTCTGCTCATTCCCTTTTTTTCCTTTTCTCAAGGGACTTGCTTCGCGGAATGCCTTAACCTACATTGGACACGATATTAATAAATGGACAGATGGAACCCCAAATGACTTTACTGCTTGGAAAACTCAACGAGGACGCCTTACATACAAAGGAACATCTTCTAACTTAAAACAACCAGCTTTCATCTGCAAGAAATGTTAATTTAGATCTATTTTACTGCCTGTTTTTATATGCTAGTTGCTCTTGAATGGTGTCATCTGAAGCTGACATATTAATTAAACAAAAATGTCAACAAATAGATTTTGTCTCATGCATGCAAGGACAGTTTCAAATATAATGCAGCAGACAGGCCTAAGCTGGGGGGAAATTAGACCCTTAGCCAGATTATCCTAAAAACATTACAATAGTCGAAATGTGGCTGAATTAAAGAATTATAGATTAGCACAAGGGCTGAAAGTGGGAGCAACGGTTTTAGTCTCCACAAAACTCCGATTTACCTTGGAGACTTTAGAAACAATCGCAGAGACATGAGACTCCCACGTTAAACCCTCGTCCAATTCTAAGCCTAAACATTTATATGATTTGACTCTTTTGATTTCATTTCCTGAGATAGAAATATCAAGTTGTTCAGGAATATTACTTAACCTTTGTCGAGAAGCAACAAACATATATTTTGTTTTCATTACATTAAGGCTAAGCTTGTTCATGTTCAGTCAAATTTGTAGAATTTTTAAATCATCGTTTAAAACAGAAATAATCTTATTGAGGTCATCATCAGCATATGTTAGATTGGTATCATCGGCAAATAAACGCCCATTTGATATCGACTGACATTTAGGGAGGTCATTGATATAGAGTAAGAACAGCAGCGGGCCCAGAATAGATCCCTGTGGAACGCCACATGTTATCTTACAGCTACACGGCAATACATTATTGATAACAGTGATTTGTGTGCGTCCAGATAGGTAGTTTCGAAATAGTTCTACTGTTTGGCTGCTAAATCCATAACGGTTTAATTTACCTAGTAGAATCTCATGGTCGATGGTATCAAAGGCCTTCTTTAAATCAACAAATAGTATGGCATTAATCAGGCCGTTATCCATATTCGTATACCATTGATCTGTGGCGTCAAGCATTGCTGTTAATGTAGAATGAAGGTGTCTAAAACCAGACTGCTCTTTGGATAGAAGATCGTTGTTGTTGAGAAAATTGTAGGTTTGATCAAACACGACTTTCTCAAAAACTTTTGCAATTACTGGAAGAACTGATATTGGCCTATAATTGTTGAGATCAAGTTTTCAGTCATTTTTATGAATTGCAGAAACTCTGGCACTTTTCCAGTCAGCTGGAATAATTCCTTTACAAATCACCAAATTAATAATATAGGCTAGTGAATTAATTGTCGTGGGGGCACTTAATTTTAGTAACCGCACAGAGATGTTGTCCAGACCACTTGCCTTACATATTGAAAGTTTATCAATTAATCTAGAAATTTGGTCTGTCGATACTTCATGCAATTCGAAAACAAGGTTATTGCGGTTAATGTTATTAACAGCTGAACTCGTATTTGTAGGGATTTGAGCTGCTAAATTCGGATCTATTTCTGTGAAGTATTCGTTGAAAGCATTGCTTATCGCCTCAGGATCAGAAATTTCCGTGCCATTTACCACAATTTTAGGAATTTTAATTGAACCCTTTGCCTTAGATAGAATGCTGTTGATACCTTTCCAAGTTTCCTTGGTACAATCCACATTATTTGAAAAGTATGAATTATAGTAGTGTTGCTTACTACTTCTGATCTTATAATTTACTAGGTTTTTTTTAGTTTTGAAATTTACCCAATCACTTTCGTCCTTGGTGATCACAGCCTTACGTTTTAAATGATCTCTTTCTCACATTAGATTCTTAATTTCAGCAGTAAGCCATGGAGTACTGATTTTTCGTACTCTTCTCTTTTTTTTCTGTGGTCTGTTTTTTTTTACTCACCCTGTAGATCATATTACTGTTGTTGTACTGTACTTGTAAAATAAAAACTCGTGTCGACATTAAATAAATGCATAAATATTGCTTTATGCACTCGCGTGTGCAGTAATTATGACAGTTGTGCTATTTTAAATTCCCAGGCACCTAAAATCTTTGTCCTTAAAACAATGACGATTTCTTGGGAAATTTCGAGGTTGCGTTTTTTATACACCCTGTAGTATAAAGTAGCAGACAATAACCAGTATCAAACAATGACGAGGTTTTCATACAGTACAATAGAATGTCGTTGAAAATGACTGCAGGATGTATATCTTACGGTTATCGCTAAGAATTATTTTTTAAATTATTCTTATTCTATTAAATTATTGTATTAAGATTAATCATATTCTACATAAACCCAGTTCTCACATGTCGACAACGTTCGGCGACGGTCGCTCACGAGTTATTTTAACTTAATTTTATACTTTTTTATTTATACCTGTTTTCGTTTTCAACATCTTTCTGTTTTATAATTATGTAAATAAACTAAATCTACATACATGTTACTAAATTTACCGATTGTCGAGGACATATAAGAACGCCATATGCTTCATGCGAATGTTTGTAGACCATGGTGTCGAGTAGCGCAGCGTTGGATCATACGTTTAAAAATCTCCACTTGTCTCAAAAGTACTTAGTCCTCCAGTGATCGAAATGCTTGTTGCATTTGGTCAAATAACTCATTAAAATCAGACTTGATTTTCGGCTCTCCGTCTTTTGCTGGATCCTAAAATGCAGTTCCATAAATTAGTATTGAATCAGCAGTACTTTAAAACCCGCACGTTTACAAGTGAGTAAACACTCACCTTGAATTTCATACTACTTAGTGCATATAAAATTTCTCCCATATTTTCCTTGATTATACTCCAAGTGACCTTGTTATCGGCGTGAGCGGTTACTTCGACGGAATGTCGGGCCATCTCGTAGAAAGCAATTATATTACTCAGCATACCAACAGTCTTATAAAACGGGCAAAATCGATCGTATAGAGTGTAGCCATTTTGTTGAAGGAAGTCGTCTTTGATCAACTTGGCAACTTCTAGTGTTATTTTGTCAGATTCTGCAAGCGAACCCTATAAAATAGATTTTTATGAACTGACTACAGATTACTGTCGAATATCTAAAATTTACAGAAAATATAACTGCTTAAAAATAATTGACTAAATGTCAATTGAAACCTTTATATGACGGATTAAGCACCAAGAAAATATTTTGTTTTACTGGCAATAAATCCTGTCCAAAATATTATTTTCAGTTAAATATGCCCCTGCTGTATATATATAAGTATTATGTAAAAGATCGTTATAAATGGCGAAAGCTGCATCATCATATTATGTTACCGTATTTTAAGCGCCGCCCCCGATTAAGCGCAGCATACGAGAGCAAAATTATTAAAGAGCGCCGCCCTCGAAATTCGAATAAGCGTCGCACTTATTCACAACAACGCGGCGCTTAATCGAAGCACCGTCTGAAAATTGTTCGTGACGTCCAACCGCGGAAGGGAAACGCCCTGGGTACGTCATTGCACCTTGGAACTCTTTCCCCCAGCATTTCAGTGTTTTTATGTTATATTTTGTTGCTAATATTTCTTGTTATCGCTAACAAATAAAATATTTTATAAAGAGTGCCGCCCTAGAACAAGCGCCGCCTTCAAATAAGCGCCGCATTCGTAACACTAAAAATTACAGAAGTAAATACGGTAACTCTGCCACATGTCCGTCTGTGAAATATAAATGTGGTGCAATGAAGTAAAAGACACATATATGAATAAATGTGTAATTACAAACCTTTCCGACAAGTTGAACGATTTCCGACAAGTCTTCTTCCTCTTGAAGTATTTCTTTAACCTGTGTAAGAGGGAAAAAATAACTTAGAAAATTGAGATGGATAGGGATCATTGTACAATGGCCATTTATAACATGAACGGTTTTCTAGCCTCGTCTTAGCGAATCATTCAATGCTGGGTAATGGCATGTAGCGCCAGTTCCACAGCCTGCTAACATCCCCATGCTAAATATATTAGGATGGGAACCACTCAAGGAACAAAGAGAGAAAGCAAAGGCAAAAATAATGTTTAAAACGCCCAATAACATGGGGCCAAGTTGTCATAAAGAATTGTTTCCTTTCAAAAAAGAAATATTAAATCGCAGTCTTCGTAACAGCTCAAGTACCACACGTTTGCCCAAGCGAAATACAAACAATATGAAAAAGAGCTCGAGTTTCATGTATGATGGAGCTTCCATATGGAACTCTCTTCCAAAAAATATAATAGAAAGTAATTCGCTCTCAAGTTTTAAAAGAAAAATCGCTACCTATAGCTTATAAAGAAAACCACATCATTGTAAATAGCAAACTTTTTGTATATATGTATTTTATATTCTGCATGTTAATATTTCTTTATTATTTTACTTGTAACAATTTGTTAATGTTTTTTACACGCCCATTGTGGAAACCAGCTTCTGCTGACAATGTTAGCGTGGTTAAATAAAGTTTATCATCATCATCATCATCATATCATCATCATCATCATCATCATCATCATCATCATAATATATTTTAAAATTTTATGGGGCTGCTGAATTGGGCGCGTTATCGTGTTTAATAGAGACCTCACGATTTAGGACGGCAACGCGACGGCGTGATCAATATGAATAATTTAGACATTGTCCTTGCTCTGTTTACAACGCCAAATCACAGATTTTCACGTCTTGATACAACGGCTGCATTTCAAGCCAGCAACATGTGCAACTTCAAACTGGGTTCAGTATATGCAGCCATGTCTTCAAATTCTAAGATTGTATTAAATTCATACGATTGATAATATGCGACAATTTATCTTTACCACCATTGATTTGAAGGAGTTTGTTTTGGCCGTTGTCGTCGCGTTGCCGTCCTAAAATCGTAAGGTCTCTAATGACGTAAGATCTCACACGTGAAATAATATAACAAAACAAATCGTTTTCAACCAAAAAAATAGGTATACAGTAGCAGACTTACTGTACAATATTTAAAAAAAAGTTTTCAATGAGTTGACATACCTTCGCACGCAACGCAATAAATTCTGGATAATTTTTCTCATAGAAGTCATCTAAGGCTCGTAAATATTTGCTGTAACTGATCAGCCAATTGATTGATGGGAAATGTTTCCTTTGAGCTAATTTCTTATCTAAACCCCAGAAAACCTTTACGAAAGAAGAAAAGACAATTTTGTTATCAGGAAATGGAAATGCGAACACATGTCTGAAGAATGAACGAAGAGCGACGGGGGAGGGAGCTAGCTAGGGGAGGGTTGATGCAAACCTGGACAATCCCAAGGGTTGCCGAGGTAACAGGATCTGAGAAATCTCCACCAGGTGGTGACACGGCGCCTACAATTGTCACACTTCCTTCCCTCTCAGGATTGCCAACACACTTTACTCTCCCTGCTCGCTCATAGAATGACGCAAGACGTGCTCCAAGATATGCTGGGTATCCGCTATCTGTAAAGATAAGATACTATTATATGAAAACAATCGAGTAAATTATAAGACTACAGTAACTCAGATTTTAGGATTACCATGAAAGTAGCCAACTGGATATGGGGGAAATATAAATCAAGAAAATGTTTCAAACCTGCAGGCATTTCAGCCAAACGGCCAGAAATTTCACGCAATGCTTCTGCCCACCGAGATGTTGAATCTGCCATCATGCTCACATTATAACCCATATCCCTGAAATATTCGGCAAGTGTGATGCCTAAAAACATGCAATTGAATACACGAATAAACTCAAAGATAAGAATGATACATAGCTATATGTAGGATAAAAATATTATTTATAGTGTAAATTGTTTTTGCTATATGTCTTTTTAAAAGAAGCCTTGATCTAATATTTTGCATTTTCGGCTAAGAAGAATCCCATAAGTAACAGAGTATAACACCTGCAATGCAGAAATATTTCTTCCAACATATTAAATTTAAAGGGTCTCTCGAGTAAAATTGTAAAAGTCAGGAATGATAAAGGACCTATGTCAAGGGCGTAAAGGTCAACGTAAACAACATTTGTACCGATGGGAAAAGTTACTTTAATTTAATACTGACCAGTGTAAATCGAGGCTTCACGAGCTGCCACAGGCATGTTTGAAGTGTTTGCAACCAAGGTTGTTCTTTTCATGATAGATTCAACAACTCCGCCAATTTCGACAGTAAGCTATATAATTATTATTATTAAGTGACTATTAATAGTATGCTGAGCAAACGACAAGCTACCCTAAGGAATTTGTTACTTTGAATGCTTTAGTAAATTGAATTTCGTATAAAGTGCGAAAGTTTATAGTGAACGTTTTCTTCCCTGTATTGCGCTAAAATACTGCATGTAAACGATTACTTTTATGGCTAGGACAAAGGTATGGTATGAAAAATGTGAGGTGGATAAGAAAATCAACCAAAGGCCACACTATACAAAACAAGGCATAAAGGCTAGTTTACACTTTCGCAGCTAAATTCTAAGTTTCGAAGGATTTGTAAGAAATGTTTTAGGGAACTGATTCAGTGTCAGTTCCCTCAAACATTTCTTAAAAATCCTTCAAGACTTAGAATTTACCTAGTATGCAAAAATTCTTATTGTGATCACAAAACTTTATTACTTTAATAATGTAAACCAGCCTTAAGGCTTTGGAAATTACATCCATATGCAACAAGATAGATACACGTATTAGCCATTCCGAAGTTGATGAATGGACTGGGGACGAGTGTTAAAAAGTGCCCAAATTAAGTAATGAACTAAATCACTAAAAAGACCACCTCAAAATTTGTAAGTATACAAAGTTTGAAGACGTTCACATGAATATCCTTCGAATAATAAGCTTTCGAAAATCCGATGTTTACTATGAAATGTATTACAATTCTTGTTTTTGGGACGCGCGTCCCAAAAACAATCTTTTAATCAGTAATTTCATAATTTTCGTAAGCTTATTATTCGAAGGGTATTCATGTAAACGTCTTCAAACTTTGTATACTTACTAATTTTGAGATGGTCTTTTTATTGATTTAGTTCATTTCTTAATTTGGGCACTTTTTAACACTTGTCCCCAGTCCACTCATCAACTTTGGAATGGCTAATTGCCAAAAAACAGTAATGAACATACAGTATCACAATTATATATGCGTAAGAGAAACATTCCTTGGATTGACGATTTTTCATTGGTATAGGACAAATTATACTATACTCGGCAGTACCTTGAACACACAAGTCATTTACCTCAGGGAAATCTCGAAGTACTTCAGACATTTCGTTTCCTCTCTCGCCACATCCAACGTAAACAATGACATCAGAGTTTGAGTATTTAGATAAGGATTGAGAAATGACAGTTTTTCCACAACCGAACGCGCCCGGGATGGCTGTGGTACCACCTTGGACACATCTAAACAAAAAATAAAACATCTTAATACGGATTAAGATGTAATATGGATTAGATGTGGGAACCATATAATTAAGCAATATACAGTACACCCTTCCAGAAAGGACGTTACTTTGGTTATAGAGCCTCGTTTTCATGTACTATATGTGACATTAGTTAAAGCCTAATATCTCAATCACACAAACGAGGCTATATAGTTAAGGTGAGGTACTTTCTGGCAGGGTGTATAGTGAATTGAATTTTAATCAATATCCATCTTTAGCATAGAAATACAATGGATTTACAATGTAAAAATATATAAATACATATACATGTAAACCTAATGAAAGGTGTAAAAAATTTAAAGTTGAAAAACTATTTAAATACAATATAATGCAGTAAAAATCATATCATTCATGAATTTGATAATGTACACGCCCTTGGAATAAAAGACGTACTATGTCTGTGTGTTTTTGAGGATCGTCTTGGAAAACTGTCTCTAGTCCTCCTCAATTTGTAAGTTTGATTATTTCTGATGCCTAGATAACGGTTACATGGATTGTTTGGGACTTCCACGATTCTTTTCAGCTCGTTGCATGTTGCCTTTTTCCTTCTTTCTTTTAGTGTGGATAGACTAGATCTTTCTCCAGTCCTAGGATTCTCAGGCGTCTTTGTTGAACGCGCGTTCAATTTCTGTTTCGAGATATTTAGGGATCCCCGCCCCCAGACTGGCGAAGCGTATTCATTTGGGGTAATAGCGTTTGCTATACAGTAACACAGGCAATGACCGACGATGTGCCCATAAATGATCTTTTCGGTCAGCATAATTAAATTAATTAAAGCAGAATTACATCGATGCAAACATACCTCCGCCACGTTCAACCCCATAGCTGTGCAAACTCCGGTTATTTTAGCTCCGGCTCTGGCAGTCAAAACTCCGGCTCCGGCAAGGAAATTTTAAGAAAATTTCATATTTAAAAGTAGAAGCAGGCGAAAGTATTTCAGTGTAATTTCAGAATTTATTTTATTCCTTTTTGAGCTTTCTCCTTTACTTATCAAACATACGTGCTTCCGTGCTTGTTTAAACAATGTTTTGTAGAAAGTAAAACCGCATGGCATCGTGGTATTTTCGCCCAAAATACATCGGGGTCCGCGGATTTTTGTATAAAAAGCGATAGCAATGCGCTTGCAGAATTTTCGAAGCCACGAATCGGATCGGAGCAAGTACAGTAATTAAACTTTACAGTAACTTCAAATCATTCAACTTAATTTTTCCATTACCAAAAGTTCATTGAAATATGAAACAATTTTTCATAATTTTGTCTGCCGGAGTTTTCCGGCTTCGGCAAAATGGGCCGGAGCTCCGGCTCCGGTACTCCGGCGCACAGCTCTAGTCAACCCTTACCTCCATTACATTATAAGCACTCCAACTACTTCATTAACGATGAAATCTGGGAAGAAAACCCATACTACTTACGGGAAAAGTGAATCGAGAACACGTTGACCAGTTAGTAAAGGATAATTCGCAGCTAGCTTTTCAACAACTGGTCGCATCTGACGTACTGGCCATATCTCAAAATTAAAAAATACAGTAGATCTTAAAAGCTGATACTGATAACACGTTTGTGCCTATATTTTCAAATTTTGAAACACTGGATATCCCAAATTGCTGGCATTTTTATGAAGTATGAAATAAACCGTCACAAACCTGTAACATTGTGTGTTCCTTTTCTTCTCCATCAAATTCAGTTTTTAGAACGACATCCTACATTCAATACACAACAGAAGCTCAAAGCGATTCTTACACCTGCATCCAAACAACCTTCCGGCGAGGCGAGGGGTCCACGATCTGATCTCAGTATTTGTTAATTTAAAATTGCTAAAATCCTGAAAATTCGGGCAAGCAGAAATCCGTGGTGACATTCTGTGGGTACACTGTAGCTGCGGAAGCTTCTAGGGTTGAGTAATCTACACCTACACCAAAACACGTCTATACGGTAATCTACAGTATATACAGATATCAGGTCATTTTCTCTGACTACTCTCATTACAGATATATACAATCAGATACAACAACAAAGTTAAATTATACCACTATATACTGTTATTTATTTACCCGACAGTGTATATCTTAAACTTACATTAAGCGTATAACTTCCAGGTGATGCGATGAACGTTATGGTCCCCCTGTCTTTTGGATGAAGCATGATGTAATGTTTAAGTAAGGAATTCTCATGAACCACGCCATAAATATCTCCACCAGTAATATGATCTCCAACCTTCGTATAGACAACAAATCATTAGAGAAAACGAAAAGACAGGAAAAGTAGTATTGCACCAATTTGCAAGGAGAATGAAGGCTAGCTCAAATGTCGCCTTTATCATGTACAATGTAAATGACCTAAACTCATTGTTTGAGCTCATTTGGATTAAATTTGGCACATGAAAAGTTCGACTTTTGAACTGTAATGAAAAAATACCAAGAAAGAGTACTGTACAATTCCGAAAGTAATTACATGCACTAGCCCCGAAGGGGATCAATGTCTTAAAATAATAATAATATTCATCGTTTTCGCAGTGAGTGTCACAAACTGGAATTTCTACAAGTGATCAAATCGGAACGCAAACTTATGCGTCCTCATAGACATCAAAGGATAATTAGGATAGCAGATGGGATAAACCAAGATATTGCTCTTCCTATATAACCTGAGCCATCGTTTGGTTCACCCCGTTCATAGCCCATGTTACATGATCTTAAATACCACTTTACGGCACTTTTATTTTGCTTTTTCGGACGCTATCCCTGTATTTGTCAGGTAGTTGTATAGAGTTGGTAACTTGGCATTACAGTACTTGAAATGTCACCATGATAACGAGGCCAGTTTAGACACTATATAAACGCATGACAGATTCTATTCACAAAAAATGCTATATAACTTAATATTAAAATACCTTAAACGATGTTGGTTCAAAATCCCACAGCGCAGTTCGACTTAAACTGTTTATGTTTACACCCCGTGGAATATATATGCTTTCTGTTAATTCGTTAATATCCTATAAAAGAGCAATATTTTAGAAATTAGTAACAAGATTTTGTTGGCATCTCACCAATCTCGTTCCCCGAGCCTGCGATCCCCGGGAAGGAACGCGAGGCTCTGGTATAATCCGTTTCAGGGAGGAATCTGACTGGCCATTGAAATGGAATGCGTAGTTCAATCTTAGCCAGGATTCCTGGCTTCCGGCAACGAATTATCCCAGAGCCTCGCGTTCCTTCCCGAGGATCGCAGGCTCGGGGAACGAGATTGGCATCTCACTCGATTGAATAACAGGGGTGCACCGGAACCAATTTTTAAAGTTCCGGCCGGAACCGGATCCAACCGGAACTGGAAAAAAGTTCTGGCCTGAAGTTCCGGCCGGAACCGGAACTGATTTATTAAGCCATATATAGTCATATGTTACTTTGTCCGCTGCCAGACAGGCAGACACTTCAAGTCATCAAGGAGAGAGCTCGCAAATGTTAGAATAAAAAGATTGACAAACGTTAAAAGTCATAATGAAGTGTTAATAATAATAATAATAGCATTTATTTTAACACGATAGATATTTACAGCATATATATGATATTTACAGTGTACATTTCCCTTGCGTAGTCCAAATTTCTTCCTACTATGAACTTTTATTAGACACAAAAACGTTTGATATTCTATCTCTCTGAAAACGACAGAGTTCTGGTTCCGGCCGGCCGGAACCGAGTTCCAATGCACCCCTATTGAATAATAGTTGAAGAGCCTTGTACTGTAGATGGAAATTATCGAGTGGAAATTTATATACATTTATTATACCTAACCAGGAACAGCTGCGAAAAATGCAACTATACAGGTATGTCCCTGGCAGGAATCAAACCTGCGTTCCTGCGATTCCAGCGCAGCACTCTAACCAACTGAGCTACAGAGGTCAGTTATCGAGCTCTAACCACAGGTTCATGTATGTATATATGGTACTGCCATGTTAGGTTATGGGTAGGTAACCTAACATGGTAGTACCATATATAGTGAAAATACATGAACATGTGGTTAGAGCTCGACAATTAATTGGCCTCTGTAGCTCAGTTGGTTAGAGCACTGCCTGACAGGGACATATAGCTGATCCTGGTTAAATCTAATAAATGTATATAAATTTCCACTCGATAATTTCCATCTATACAAGACCCTTCAACTATAGAAATTAATACTATATTTTATAGTGATGATGTTGTGATGATATAGGGGCGCTCTAACCAATTGAACAACAAAGTCCATTTTTTGCGGCTGTTCTGGTCAACCTCGTATCCAAGTTCTTTCCTCTACGCTCTCCAATATTCGGTTTCCATTTAGTTGCAACTGTTGTGAACATGTCAAGGTGACCGATATAATTGCAGAAGTGTCTGTGTATCTCTACATTCAGTAAAGACTGATTTGCACACAGCATATAAACAACGACAGAGATACATCCAGACTACCCTGCAAACAAAGTCCTCTCGTATTCCTTCTCGGCACAGCACAGAGAAGCGAGAGAGACTCTGCAGAACTTGTGTTTATTCTTTGTGGAGCCGACAATCCAAAAACTTGGATAATTATGTGTAATTTCATGTTTGATACTGGTTTTATAACCGGTTTTGATCTGAACTGGAAACTACTTATTAGATATTTTTCTGGGAAATAGGCAGTTGCTTAGCAACCTTCGCGCATGCTCAAATGAACTTATACACAAGTTCTGCAGAATCTCTCTTGCTTCTCCGTGCCGTGCCGAGAAGAAATACGAGAGGACTTTGCTCGCAGGGTACATCCAGACAATTTGGCAGTACGAACAACAGCATGGTTTTCCATCCCAAAATATTGCATTTAGCAGATGAACTGCACAACCATATTCACAACCATAAAATAAATTAATTTTGCATAATAGGTTTTATTTGTAAATTAATTAAATCATGTTAATACTAGCCTTCAAAGGTCGTTGAATACCATCAAAAATACTGCCTAAAATACCTGGAACGGGAAAAAATGCATTAAATGTTTCATAATTTATGCATAAATGTCAAGTGCACAATAATCTACTGTATGTAACAACATTTATAACAGAAGCCCAGAAAGAGCTAGGCATGCAGAACAGATAAACTAGGTATACAAAGACTTGAAAAGTCATACTATACAATCATGTATGTTACCCAAGGACATAAAATGTGTTTGGTATGAAAAAACTTTAACTAAGTCTAAGTCGTGGGTATAATGATTTGTAGACTGTAGTTATAGTGAGGTAGTTCTTTCTGGCTGTGTTCATTTGGTGTTTCTATTATTAGAGTGATGCCATACACATGCACAACTAAAGGAGAAAACACTATAGATATCGGTACAAAATAAAAAAATAGCAATACATTATAGTCTTGTTTTCAATCAACTATTCCATGCTTGGAAATCAAATAGTGATTTTTGGTGTCCTGAACCGTATACAGTAATGTAAAACACAGTATCCAGTCATTCCAGTGACAGTATTGCATATGATATCTTACCAGGACCAAGTTCAACAGATAAAGGTTTTCCAGTTCGCAAAACAGGATCTCCAACAGAAACACCAGCTGTGTACATGGTTAAGAAAATTTAGCAAAACGTTGTTGCAATTGTTCAGGGCCACATCATGTCTTTCGGTAAAGGTTAGCTGGTCATGTGAACCACACGAGGGCAAATGTTGAAAGATATAGTGAATTGACCCATTGAGTGGTAGCACTCTCCCCCTGACGAGTAAAATCGTCTGGCTAATGACATCTATCTGGAGTGAAATAATAATGTAGGGTGCATTGCCACTTAAAGGGTTAACAGGGTGCATGGACAGATAGTCTGATTAACTCATTGAGTGGCAGCCCTCTCCCCCTGACAAATAAAATTGTCTGGCATTAGACTGAGTAAAATAATAAAGTGGGGCACATTGCCAATTAAAGGGTTAAAGACCATTGGATAACTTTTTGGGCATTTCTGAATTCAAATAAGCTGCAAGACACAAATTTGGCACACCTCATGAAATGCTATTGTACTATATATATGAGCTAGTGTACAAAACACTAGAATTAGAAAAATGATATAAAAAAGAGTTGTTTACAATTGACACAATAAAAATTCTAAAATGTGGCATTCTGATAGTTGTATTTTTCACAACTGCTCATGGTTAGGTTTAATAAATGTATAAAAAGTCCACTTGAAATTTCCACCTACAAATCCCTTCAACAATTAGTTTTATTGAGTGAGATGCCCAAAATCCTGATATTTATGTTTTTCGGTATCCCATGTTCCCTAGTACTGTATAGTACTACAAATTTAGAGATTGTTGCAACACATATATCATTAAAGGCAGATACAGGTTTCTTCATAAACTTGAATAGTTGCGAAGTCTCCTTCCAATCTGATTATTTCTCCAACAAGTTGACTGTGCCCAACACGCACCTAATAAGTGTCAATGAGAAAAGAATAATAAGTTGCATATATTTGAAGTAAGTATGAAGTACTAAAATATGAGAAAAGGCTATGCACAAACATCTTTTTAAATGCAGAAGAATTAATGATATTGTTTATCTTAAAGTGATACCCCCCCCAATTTATTTGGGTCATTCTGAGAAATGTTGCATATCTTTGTAGAATGTGAATGCATGAGTCAATTCTGTGAAAGCATGAGTCAATTCCATGAGCAACCATCCCCCTGCCCGGACACTACTGGGCATTTGCTGGGAATACCATTCCCGGGGGCTGTGAATTTGCTCACAATTACAGTGCATGAGCCATGAGGTTAGATGAATTGCAAGTTAGGTGCCATAGTTCAGTACTAATATCATAGATAGCTCTAGCATTTCTCCTCTTTCCTGCTTGTGTCTGTTGACCTGACATGCCCAGGCTCCAATTTAGCTTTACAGTTTTACAAGTTGAAAGTATATTGTGACGGTATCAATTTGCATGAATATTATTTGAGATTCTGTAAAATGTGTCATTATCACCAAAGCTGCAGATCTATGCTTCCTCCTGCCTGAAAAACTGTGTCTTGGTTTTTGTATTGAAGAATTCATGAATGAAACTACATTACTATGCCTATTGCTGCAAAAAATGTCAAACTATTAATGGCTGATTTTAGCACAATGTCCTGCAGACCAATTAGATTATTTAGATACTGCAATAGTATCTAAGGGCCATACAGTATCTTTTCTTACCCCAATGTGCCTGAATGCACCCTACCTTATTCTTTTACTCTTGTCTAGGGAAGCCTCATTTTTATAAGAAATGGAAAATTTTTGCAATCATATGCCAATAAAATGTTTATGATGACATATGCACAAGCCTTAGAGGGATCAAACATATTGATTTCTTATGTATTGTCTCACTACAATGCAACATAAGCATAAACATAAGAATATCAAAATGTTGTTTTCCCTATGCTTATGTTGTTGCTTAATTATGCTTGCACTTTATCTTGCATTGTAGCAACTAAGAACAACAAAAGCATAAGAACAACAGAATCATGAGAACGTCAAAGCAAGACAGAGTAAAATAACAGAGTACAAAGTAAAATAACAATGTAGCTTATTGGATTAATCTGCAATGTGTAAATGGGATATTATAGGCCAAATCAGTGACATAATTGAAAGAGGGCCCCCTATACTTTTTGCGTGAAGGGCTTGTTTTACTTAGCCGTGAAACGGGATCAGGCCCCCTATACTTTTTGCGTGAAGTGCTTATTTTACTTAGCCGTGAAACGTGATCGATGATTTTCTTAATCCGTGACTCGTGAAAAGGCAAAATATTTTTACGTGAAAGCATATTGTGAAGAGGTATAGGGGGCCCTCTTGAAACTTTTACAAACCTCATAACTGAATTCTTTCACATACTTTAGGTCAATTAATAATTAATATTTACAAAAAATAATTTCTGATATATATGTATTCTTACTGATTGATGAGTTCCCATATCACAATATGAAGTACTATATTAAATCTTACTGATATTGTGAAATGACATATACGATATTCGCATGATTGCTATCTCTATATATAAATCAATGACAAATCATACTATAATATATTGGAACAGTCCAAAGTCAGATACAGAGATCTTATCAGAACTTACCAATTCATACATTGCAGAACCACTCATATAATCCGCTGTAACAACTATATTGGGATGAATTATAAATACTGTATTAAAGCCAGCAAGCTAAGTAGTAATTTAATAATTTTATATGGTCACAAGACATACCCGGTCTCTGAGTGCAAACTGAAACAATAAAAAGCAAAATTTTACAAAAAATATACCTGGCCCAGAAACAGCGTGTACATATCCAAATTCTGAATCCTTTATATCTAATTCGCTCATCGATTGATCCATGATGTTACTATATTTAAAATAAGTATCTATCTACAAACTAAATATGTTGATCATGGAGGTAAAAATCTGTCATGTGAAAAGTTCGGGACTTCGGGGGCAATCAGGTTGATCCCCTTTGGGGTACACACGGGGTGTGAATTTCAAAATTAACATATTAGAAGCTGAATTTCGAAGATATGAAGAGGACAATTGTGAATATTTTTCATCAAATGAAAAATCTAATAGTCATGTAAAATTCGTTCTTTCTTAATACCTTAAAAGTGAAATATAAGTTTCTACTTACCCTCCCTACCCAGTGCAAAAACTCTTAATTTGTACCCAGTTTTCACATTCATCACGGTCAGAAATGAGGATGACAGAATTGTTTCCATAATGGCAGATAAACGCAATTGCAATGTTTTACTTTATTCTTTATTTACGATAAACAGTTTGTGCTTGTCGATCCGTCAGAGGTGTCTGCTAGTACCTATTCTTATATTATTACTTCTCAACACATGTACTTTATCACAAGCTATGGACAAATGTAGTGATAATACGTTTGCTCGGCATTTTAATTGTTCAAGCAATGACTGTGTTTATGGAGAGGAATCATTGGTCAGTTGTATATTGCCTGCGAGTATTACGGACATCTTGTGTGAGGTATTTAACTGGTTACGCAGCAATCCATCATAGTTTAGGGCACATTTAACACTTATTAAACTCCTAACATACGGGTCATTCCATTCATCCCCCCCCTCCCCCTCCCATGGATGAGCCCTGTTCACAATTTTACCTGTCAGAATCAGGCTTCTGAGAAGTACTCTGTTGTATTTGACAGTAAATATCTAGACCCGAGGAATATGTAATTTTTTTTCCAAAATTCTTTTCATTTACTATCCCCCCCCCCCCCCCC